CAACTCATTTCTCTGCGCAGCGGCCTTGCTCGTCAAGGTTCGTGTTTTGGAGTTATAGAGTTGAGAGAGGGTTATAACCACAAATAAGTAGCCTCCTCGTCTGTAGTGGCCTTCTCGGCCTTAAGAAGGTGAATTAAAATTAAAAAAAAAAAAAAAAAAAAGTTCCAGTTCCAAATACTGGTCTGAATAATATGCTTTTGTTGTTAATAAATGACGTCAATACAAAAAAATTCTTTCACACGCAAGTTTAAATGTTATGTTTGGGTTTTCCCTTTTACCATTAAATTTCATGTAGAAGAATTTTTTTTAAAAAACGAACCAAACTTTAAACTGATTAAAAATAACACGATCAATAAACTCTTTAAAAGCCCAACTTATATTTATTTTATTTTGAAAACAAAACTAATACTAGTACTATAAATATGATACGTAAATTTCAAAATTATACTGATATTTGTTAAAAACAAGTTCTGCTAATAACATTTTAAAACCAAGAATACTTTTTTTCTTCTTAGATTTAGTAAGAAATAGTAAAAATACATTAGGTTTCACAGTACATAAAAATAAAATATTTCAATAGAAGTAAAAAAAAAACAAAGCCAAAAGGCGGTAATCTTCATCTAATTACAATTTTTATTTTATCAAAAGCCAGTTACTAAAACTCTTTAGGTTGCGCAAACGTTTTTATATAAAGGGGAAAACCCAATATAACTGTGTGGTAGTAAGCACATTTAAATCCCTTTAAGAAAATCAACCATAACCAAGTGTTCCCTTATAAAATCTCATAACAAAGCCTGTTTATTGGTAAGCATAGACTTGTGGCTGCCTTCCCAAATATTTTAATTGCACTATGCATATATCTTTGTTTAATTGTAACAATTGCAGCCGAGAACGTTTATTCTCTCAACTTAAGCTTATTAAAAACGATTTGAAATCAACCATGGGCCAAGACCGTTTAAACGCCCTTTTTGCATAGAGAACAGACTACTTCAACAGCTTAATTTAGATTAAGTTATTGAAGAATATGCTAATAAAAAAATCTCGAAAAGTTAACTTCTGAGAATCGAAGATTTTAGTATAAACACAAACCTTCAAACTCACAAAAACTGCAATATAATTGAAGAATTTATTACATAGATTTATTAGTTTGTTTATTTTTTTTACAATTTTGTTATTACATTAAAACTATTCTTTACAGTAAATATTTTGAAAACAATGTCGACTGCATTGAATCATAATAACTATAAAAAAAATATTTTTTATTTCTTTTGTCGCATTATTGCTACAAATTTTGTAATTTTTTAAATAATAGCGGTATACAAATAAAACTTTTTCTGATAGTCAGCAGAAAATAAAACTGGTACCCTAGTAAAACTACAGAACTGGCTGCATTGAAACCATTCTGCAATGACAGCAAATGCCGTACTGCCTGATGTGAAGTTGTTTCATAATCTTTATCACTTTGGAGTTAATCGAACCTTTTAAATGTTGAAACAGACAATCCCAAAGGAGAAAGCTTGTAGAAAAGATGTTGAACCAGTCGTAAAAAGTTATTAAAGATGTTTAACAGTGGATCCTGTGCCAATTAGATGGGAAGAAAGAAATTTTGAAGTTGGACTCACTATAAATCAGAGATTTATTTATCTATTATTGACTGTGGCAAAAGGAGCAAGTTTGCAACTTGGAAAGGAACAACAGTGTGCTTCCATTTAGATGAAATATTTTAAGAAAGAGGACCACTGTGTTCTACTTGGCAACAGCAAGACTTTTTGCTCAAAACTCGTTGGTGAACTATGAGAAGAATCGGGGGTGTCCACCCTGTTTTGTTGCACTTACAGGCCATCTGGAAATGGAACTGTTGAACGTCGTCATTGCACAATTAAGTGTATGGCAGCCAGAAGTGGCAAAGATCAATTAAAGATGGTATATTGGTATGTGGTTCCCAAAATAAATGGCAAGGAAACATCACTCCCCTACAAAGCTGTATTCTACTATGAGAGGAAACCACACATAATTTCGTCAAAACTAACAAGGAAGTTCTCCACAGCTATACACAAGGACAAGAAGTATTTGTGAGACCATCTGACTCAAAATGTACGAGCAAATAAAATAGAGTCTCAGATGCAGGACAAGGAGTTTCGGTAGAAACCAATGGATTTCCGAGACACATGTCAGACATTCAACCTGCTCCCATTGCAGCTAACTTATGTACTAAAGAATCAGGAGAATCTATAGTGGATAGCTCGAATCTCAGAAGATCGATAAGAGTGCATAAATTTTCGGATAAGTATGCAGACTTTGTGATCTAGAGATAAAAGGTTGTAAATAATTGCATTATATATAAACTGTTATTGTGTTGCGCCAGAAGGAACATAAAATAAAAGGGAAATAATAATTGGAGATAAAATGGTGTAAATAATTGTATTATATAAACTATTATTGTGGGTGCATCATATATTATATTGTATATAACATTTATAACTTTTATTATACCTTTGGGGGTATTTGTAAATGTGTATATATCGAGTAAAGATATTCACAAAGACAGAGAGAATAAATAATTATAGATTTACTATTATAAGTTCTAAAAATGAAAATCAAAAGTAAATAAATATATACTGATTGCTTTCAATGTTATATGTAATTTATGTAAATTGTGCAATGCACATATTTTTATATATTTCAGTATATCAGGTGCATAAGTCCAGTAACAGTACTTAATAATCACCAAATAATATCCACATAATTAATTTGTCAATTCCAATTAAAAGGTCTGTCTCTATATCACTTTCTTAACCTTATCAATTAGCTATTTGCCAAAACAAGAACAATGGGTCAAAAGTCTGATAAAATTTCAACAGTTGCATAAAAGAAGGGGTGCTGTGTCTTCACGAGAATTTTCACTCAAAGAAAAATGCAGAACACCACTCAAAAGGTATGTAGATGTGTAATACCAGTTCCTTGGAGCTGAAATCAAAGGACAAAGAAAAGAATAGCAAACATTTCCAGAGAAGTTCAAAGTTTATGGAAGAATAAATTAAATTTTCCTCATTCATTGAATCAAGCAATACCAGCAAAACTTTTTTGTGTATTAAAACTTACGATGAATGTGTTAAACAAGGAAAATATAAATCATTAAACAAACTGCTTGATATCAAAAAAGCTGAGTCTGTCAGCTGAAGATAAACAACTCTATTATCTACAAGTAGAAAGTCAAGAAAAAGTTGGTTATACCACCTGTAAAGAATCAGGAAAGAAAACAATTCATCCTTCAAAGAGAAGAAAATTTCCTCAACCATATACATCAGTATCACACATCTAATGATTGTGATAAGGAGTCAGATAAGTCTGATGGATAAGATAAATATACTTGCACTCCAAAAAAGAAACATAACAAAAGTAAAGTTGTTGTGAACTTATTGACATTAACAACAGTATCGACAAGAAAAGCTACAAAAATTTGCAAGCAGTTGGCACTCGATGATGTTAACATTCTAACACCCGGTCAAACCAGAGTTTATAAGTCAGTATTTAAGGAAGCTTCTAAATTGAAGAAAAAGATAAAAAAAAACTTAAATATTGAACAGTGGCTTCTACATTTTGATGGAAAGTGCTAAAATAAAAACGAGTATCAGGTTAAAGAATTGAAAAACGAAAGAATGAAATCAGCTGCACTGTGCTTAAATGATAGAAAGGCAGAAACTATTACTGATAAAATGCTGTTAAGATGATAGCGGCTGACACAACCAGTGTTAACACTGGTAAAAAGAATGTTTTTGTAAAACTTAAGCAAACATTATCGGCGAAGGGATTTGACAAACCATTACTTATTTCTTGCTCGCATCACATGCTTGATAGGATTCTGTGTGTGGTGATGGATGAGGAAATTGGAGAAAACACCAAGTCTCTAAACATTTAGTATCCTTTTGTATCTCAATTGATGAGCAGTTATGAGAAATTGCAAGCAAAATTTGTGAATAGAACAGAAGTTGAATTGAACAGAAGGACATTTTCTACTTGTTAATGTTCAAAAAATTCCTTATATGCATGTTGGAATTCAAGTCATACTTGCCATTCTTGTTTTTGTTCTTATACCTAGAACAAGATCAACACTACAGAAAATCTGCAGATTTATTTTGGGCAAAGTATTGGTTTGCAGATCAATTTTACAGCAAGGTAGACTACAGTAACTGGTCACAAATACTGAAACCTTTCAAAAAGGAGTTACAGGCATTGAAGAAAAACTGGGAAAAGGAACCATCAGCACTGAAGATATTAAAAAGCAACTAGTGCATGGAATGTGCATTGAAAAGTTATGAAGGAGCTTTATTCAGTCTGCAGAAAAAAAGACAAACTTAAGTCTAGAATTGTTTTAAGTAATAGACAGTGATGTAATGACATGTTTATTCATAAATATAGACAATATAAAGCATATGCTATGCCATCGTAACTGTAATAGTAAGCAACAAGATATGTTACAACTATTAAACTAAGTACAAGTTAAGTTGAACAATGTTAAATGGTAACATGCAATTTGATATTTTGATTTAGGAGTGAATTTTTTTAAAAACATATTGAAATAACTATTAATTTCTTTGGTTTTGAGTAATTATTAATTAAACTGACATACAGGAACATGAAGTTGTAAAAAAGTTATATCCCTAATATATTTACGATAGCAGATATATATTTTCAATAGTTTTTTGTTACTTTATTTCGTACAGCTTTTTCGCACACACAAAAAAAAAAAAAAATATTGAAAAAAAAGGATTGTGAAAAAAAAAAAGATTGCTGCTCTAGCCCAAACCCTTAGTTGATTTAGTGGCACTCCCTTGCATGTTCTATCTATTTATCAGTTGCATGTTCTATCTATTTATCATACTGTTAACATACACATACACACACACACACACACACACACACACACACACACACACACACACACACACACACACACATATATATATATAAATATATGTCCTATAAATAATAATTTATACCTGGTAGCAATGTATCTTGCAATGAGTCATTTGAACAGTCAAAAGTCAAAATCCAATCGTAAATACCTTTGCTATATAAATATTTTATGCCATTTTCATTTAAAAACGCAGGATGTAATAACATTTCAAGTCCATTTAGTTGACATAAAATATCTTTTTTATCCACAATTTCATTAATCAAGTTATCAAGAATATATGTGCAATTGCTTAAATAGTCTGCATATATTAATAAAAAGTCAAAGAAAACCTCATACACTCGAAATCTTTTTATAGCACCACTTATGAATAAGCTTTTACAAACATTCTGAATTTCATCTGAAAACATCCATTCAGGTTTAATATTTTTACTTTTAAAAAGTATATTAAGTATATTTCTAGCCAAGCAGGCAACATTTATAAACTCGCTATTTAAATAATGAAAACTTATAATAAAAAGATTAGGGTGTGATAGAAAAAAAGATCGATCGGTATCTACTTCTGCTAAACGATAAATTTGATAAAGACATATTTGCTGTAAATGTTCATTATTTATTAAAAAACTTTTTTCTATATATTCAATGTATGAACAAATAATTTCTTGAGGATGAATTACTTCAAGCAAATTTCTAAGTAAATTGTCAGCTGGTAATGCCAAAGTTGTTACAGAGAAAGAAGTTTTAGACTGGTTTTGAATAACATCAAAAAGTTTATTTATATTTAGATGCTTACCAATAATAACAGTTTTATTTCGATCATTTGAAGTTATCATACATAAGCAAAAAATAATTTCTCTTAATTTATCATCTTGCAACGACGAATTAAATTGCTGCACTAAATTGTCATAATTACTCCAGTTTTCAACAGCCATTTATTTCAAACAAGTATATGTATAATAATATTAGGGGCCATCCATAAAGTACGTACGCAGTAAAACCACTGATTTAGGACCTCCCCTCCCCCCTTGTACGCACTTGTATGCTTTCAACGACTCCCCCCCCCTTCTGCGTACGTACGCATTTTTTATTACAAGTTCAGGCTCTCCTCCCCTTCCTTCCCCAACGCATTAATTTTTCAAAATATTTAACACAAAAAAACATTTTGTTAATTTCTCTGTGCTTAAAACCGGAAAGTTATTTGTTAATAACTTTCCAGTTTTTGTTAAAGAAAGAAAAATATTCTAAAAAAGAATTCTTGTTGCGAGTATTTATATTTCATATTTCCTCAAATGGTGACTTAAATAAATCAAATATGTTATCAAATACAGGCATGAACTCTGCTTCCACACTTTTATAATCAATCTCCTCACTGATATCTTCACCTTTAATAATAGATTCACTGTCACTTACACTATCCTCACTCTCCATTTCAACCGTGTTTTTTTTTTGTGTATGTGCTTTCTTGTGCCGTTTCATTGCAGCCTCGCTTGGCCAGTATTTATTGCACTTGTCGCAAATTCCGTTTGAGAGCTTTTCCTTTAACGATGGGCAATACAGATCAAATGGTATAATTTTGTATTTTAATCCTTCTATAGGTATATCATGTAGCAAAAGTCGATGTGTCAGTGGTGCAAACGTTGATTGTTTTGATACGTTTTTAAAATATCGAGACAGATCCATTGCTTTGTAACCATTCTCGCAGTATTCGTAGATTGCCGGAAATGGAATGAAACGTTGGGGGAAGTTTTTCAGCCAGTTTGTTTCAAACGGTGTGCAACATGACTCCTCTTGGCATTTTACGATTTGTAGGCTGTATCGCGATTGCTGACAATGTTTGTCTACCCAAACAGGATCTGGAATTGGTGGTTCATATGCTTTCCCAACAGGTACAGCCTGGCAATGAACAGGATACCCGTCAATGACGGTTTTCTCCCAAACTTGGGATAAAACGTCAGCCGCTTTTTGAAAGTTCTCTACCTCCAATTCATAGTCGATTGTTTTTCCAGAAGAATCAAGGTGATTGCCAAAAAAATCATGAGGAAGGACTATTCCAGCCAAATCACGAGAAAGAGGTGCCATTCTTCGTTCTACGGGGTTAAAGGCTGAAAGGCCAGCTGCATTCACACCATGAAGAAGGGCATCTAAATTAAGCAAGCGAAAGAGGTCAACAGCAGTTGCTAAGGTTTTAGGGAAACGTGGTGCTTCATCCTGAGCTCCATCAGTCTCCATTAACATAATTGGTCTACGTTTAACCAACTCGGTTTTAAAAAGCTCTCTAACATCAAAAGCATGTGTAAAAGCATTTGATGTATCGTGTTTCGCACTTCTTATGCGTATGAAAGTGTCCCCACTGTATGATACATTTCTAGTATTGTTAATCTAAAGTGGAGACGCTACGGAGACATTCTGTTCTTCGACGTTCGTCAGCTGCTGATAAATTTTGCACAATTTTTATAATTGTTGATAAAAGCTCTGGTTGGTCAACTTCGAGACGCGGTCGTCCAGTATGGTTTCGACTAAACTGTTTCAAAGCACTTGATGCTTCAGGGATGTTCTGACACACAGTTTCGATGCTCTCTTTAAGTTTTTGTCTTCGTTTTCTTTGACGAGCTGATTCACGAATCAATCTGAAAACGAAATATCAGTAAAGCTTTGATTCCGTTATAAAAACTTCTATACTTAAGGTTTCGCAACTTTTGGCTAATGTTGCAAAAGAAAAAGTACGCAAATTCTTATTTCAAATAAGAAAGTATTATTTACAATAAGATTATGAAAGTTTCTGTCTTTGAAAATGTTTGGTTTTTATAGCCAAGACGCTTTTCTATACGCATAAATAAACTCTGTATTATTTAACATAGATTTAATATGATATTTACTAGAAACCTGACAGTTAAGCATTCTAAAATGAAATATCAAATAAAGAAATACATAACTAAATTATCTTACCTGTCCAATTTTGTTTTTTCTTTTCTTATGGTTTCTTTCACAGTGTTTATTTGTTCCTTTGTTACGGTAGATAAACCAGAATCACGTACGACTATCAAGGATGCACGTTGTGATTCAAGATCTGAGATTTTTTCGACTCCTAACTTGTGCCGGATTTTCTCTTTCTTTTTTGTTGTCTGTTAAATCTAAATTAAAAAATGCCAAAAAATAAGCTATTATAAATTCTTGACAATTACTACTAATCAATTTATTTTGGATATAGAAAAATAGGTCTAGTGGTCAACATTATAAATTTCTGTGACTGCTCTAAGGTCGTACGATGTAGTTTGATTTACAATACGGTTAAACTCAGTAGGCCGGGTGAATAAAAAAGAGCAATTGCTTTTACTCAGTAATTGTTCAGTTTTACGTGAATAAAAAATTGAGCAATTATCCTCAAATTTCTATTTACGTAAAGTTGAGCGTTGTTGGAGTAAATTGTTCAGCTTTACGTGAATAAAAATTTGAGCAATCTTGGTCAAATTTTTATTCACGCAAAGCTGAACAGTTACTGAGAAAAAGCAATTGCTCTTTTTTATTCACCCGGCCTAATGTATAGAAAATCACAAGAGAGAAAAAGTTTTTAAAATATTACAGAAATTAGCTTACTAATTTCAATCCTTGCAGGCTCTGTCGTAGTTGCATTTAGGAAACTTCGTGTTTCATTTGACGAAGACGGCGCTGGATGGATATCTTTTTTCTTTTTGCTAGGTGGTGAAATGGTATTTCCCCAGAATGACATAAGTGATACTTTCGACTTTGTTACTTTCTCTTTTAACTCATTTATTTTTTTTTCATACAAGGATTCATTGTTTTTTACTATTTTCCACAACTCTTGTGCTTGCTGATACTGCTTTTGTTTTTCAAGTGTTGAATATGCTTTTTTATATAACTCAAGGAATTGAAGGTATTTTTTCTCGTTCCCGCGCGGCATCTTGGTCATAATAAATAATAAGTTTTTTTTCCAATGAGGCGTATTGAGTTTTCGAATAGAATCATAAAAGTTTTTTTTGTTTTAGTTTACTCAAGTTTCCCATCTTGTGATCTTAGTGTTGATGGTTATCTTCCTTTAATTCGTAAAGACTCCAATAATCACATGCTTGGCCTGGGCATCTACATTCGTAAGAACTCACCCATTTGTCGTGAAACTAGGTTTGAATCTACAGACTATTCATTTATGTGCTTTCGTTTAGCACAACTTCACTCTATCGCCTTTCTCTTTGTTCTATATCGCTCTCCTTCATCCCAAGATTGCACTATTCTTGATGTTATTTCTGATCAAATTGACCAAGCCCTCTCTCTTTATCCATCGGCCAATATCGTCGTTGTTGGTGACTTTAATGCCCACCACACCGATTGGCTTGGCTCTAGTGTCAGTGACTCTGCTGGCGTAAAGGCCCTCAACTTTTGCCTTTCTCAATCTCTAACTCAAATAGTCAACTTTCCAACTCGTTTTCCAGACAACCCTAATCATTTACCTTCTCTACTCGACTTATGTCTTGTTTTGGATCCTAGTCAGTGCTCAATTTCTCCACATTCACCCTTAGGTACTTCTGATCACGGTTTGATCTCTCTAAAACTATTATCAAATTCTTCTACTTCATCAGAATCCCCCTATCATCGTACCACATACAACTACCTTAAAGCTGACTGGGACTCTTTCCGTGATTTTCTTCGTGATGGCCCTTGGGTAGAAATCTTTCGTCTTCCTGCTGACAAATGTGCTTCTTACATAACTTCGTGGATTCAGGCTGGCATGGAATCTTTTATTCCCTCTCGACGATTCCAGGTCAAGCCTCACTCTTCTCCTTGGTTTTCCTCACATTGCGCTGCAGCAATTTCTAATCGAAACTGTTACTTCCATATCTATCAGCAAAACAATTCTCCAGAAAACAGACATCTGTTCACTATCGCCAGAAACCATTGTAAAAAGGTTTTGTCTGACGCCAAAGCTCGCTATTCCCAGGTCATTAAGTCTCGTATCTCATCACAAAAATTAGGCTCTCGAGACTTCTGGAGAATCTTTAACAGTATCAATAATAAGGGCAAATCTGTTATTCCTTCTCTCTTGTATGGTTCAGACTTTGTCACCTCACCTAAAGACAAAGCTGAATTGTTTGCTAAAAACTTTTCATCAATATCATCTCTTGATTCCACTAGTTGCGTTTTACCTGACATAGCCGTCAAACAGGTTGATCCCTTGCTTGACATTTGCATCACTTCAACTTCTGTATCTAAAGTAATTTCCTGCTTAGACTCTTCAACAGCTTGTGGTCCTGACAACATTCCTGTTGTAGTCTTGCAGAGGTGTTCTCCTGAGCTTTCATCCATACTCTCTAAACTATTTAACAAGTGCTTATCAGAGTCTTGTTTTCCATCATGCTGGAAAGCAGCATCTGTTATCCCTATTTTCAAAAATTCCGGAGAGCGATCTGATTCATCTAACTACCGTCCCATTAGTCTTCTTCCTGTCATAAGCAAGGTTTTTGAATCTTTAATCAACAAACACTTAATCTCTCATCTTGAATCAAATAACTTACTTTCTGATCATCAATATGGATTTCGGTCTTCTCGTTCTACAGCTGATGTGCTAACAGTAATAACCGATAGGTTTTACCGTGCATTAGATAGAGGTGGAGAGGTTAAGGCTATCGCACTTGACATTTCTAAAGCTTTTGATAAAGTTTGGCATGCTGGTCTTCTCCATAAGCTTTCTTCTTATGGTGTAGCTGGTAACGTCTTTAAGATTATTGAGTCCTTTCTTTCCAATCGTAGTATAAAAGTTGTCCTCGATGGACAACACTCTTCTTCACATCCTGTAACTTCAGGGGTTCCTCAAGGTTCAATCCTTGGCCCTATACTCTTTTTAATTTACATTAACGATCTTCCAGATATTCTCACATCTAAGGTGGCATTATTCGTCGACGACACTACCATTTACTCTTGTCATGATAAGAAGCCTACACTCTCTGATTGCTTGGAGGGGGTATCTGAGCTTGAAAAGGATCTCACTTCTGCTACAGCATGGGGCTCACAGTGGCTGGTGAACTTTAATTCAGATAAAACTCAATTTTATTCGGCCAATCGTTATCGTAATAATTTAGATCTTCCTATATTTATGAATGGTAATGTACTAGATGAGTCATCTACCATTCATCTTCTAGGATTAACTCTTACTTCTGATCTTTCTTTTAAACCGTATATCAAATCCATTGCAAAATTAGCATCTGCTAAGGTTGCATCTCTTTATCGAGCTCGACACTTTCTTACTCCAGATTCTATTCTCTATCTCTATAAATCTCAAATACGTCCCTGTATGGAATACTGTTGCCACATCTGGGGCGGATCTTCTAATGATGCTCTTTCTCTTTTAGACAAGGTGCAAAAACGAATTGTAAACATAGTTGGACCTGCTCTGGCAGCCAATCTCCAACCTTTGTCACATCGTCGTAATGTTGCTTCTCTTTCTCTTTTCAACAAATACTATAATAGGCACTGCTCTAAAGAGCTAGCGTCCCTTGTGCCATCTACTAAAATTCATTCTCGTGTTACTCGCCATTCAATTAAGTCTCATCCTTTTTCTGTGACTGTTCCTAAGTGCTTCAAAAACTCTTATTCTTCTAGTTTTTTTCCTCGAACATCAGTTCTTTGGAATTCGCTTCCTTCATCTTGCTTTCCTGATTCATATAATTTGCAATCTTTTAAGTCATCAGTCAATCGTTATCTTGCTCTACAGATTTAGTCTTTTCTCTTCCAGTAACTTCCAACTCTTATAGTGGTTGCTTGCAGCCTTGTTGGAAGTGAAGATGTTAAAAAAAAAAAAAAAAAAAAAAAAAAAGATAATTGCCGTTACATTGCATCATAAAAAGTGTTGCTTTCCATCAGCATTTAAAGTAACTATTTTTTACAATTATCACAATGATTGTCATATGCATTGTCACATGTATGTTCATTTCGCTTCGCCTGTCCTTAGCAATCTTAATGTATGTTAATATTAACTTTAATGATAAAAAAAATAATAATATTACCTTTTTTTATTTTATTGTTTTTTAAAAACAAAATATTAACCTTTTAAGAGAAATGGGAAAAACCAGGTTCGTAATTAAAAAAAGAATTCAGAAGAAGTTTTCTTTGATTACAGTTTTGTTACTTTTCATCTTGCTACAGTCGAATTATGTTGCAAAAAATGGAAAACATTATTTGGAGATATTATAGCTCGATTTTTTCTCTCCTCGTTACTTATAAAGAAAAATAAAAAACAATTGTAATTGAAGTCAGAAAAAAAAATAACATATATTATATTATGATTTTTTAACGTGAAATTCAATGTTTTTATAAAAAAACATTAAAACACGTGAAATTCAATGTTTTTATAAAGAAGTTTAGGAGAGATAGTTAAACCGCGTACGTACTCGCTGTCGTTAACACCCTCCCCCCCCCCCCTGTACGCATTCGTACGTTTCAGGATAACCCCCCTCCCCCCATACATGCGTACGTACTTTATGGACGGCCCCTTATTTCAATAATTTTTTTTTTCATAAGGGGTCGTCCATAAAGTACGTGCGCTCATAGGGGGGAGGAGGGTGGTCTTCAAAAAGCGTACGAAAGCGTATGGGGGGAGGGGGGAGGGCTCATTTTAAAAGTACGTACTTCGAATTTCTAATTTTACACAATTAACCTGCTAGTCAATAGAAAAGTTAAAATTCTGACTAAAGATCCTAGTTTGCCAACATAAAAAGATGTACTGTAAAGGGAGTAGAAGGTATACCCGGTGGTAAATGAGCTAGCGACTAGCTAGTTCTATAGCGATTTTCAAGCGATTTTTTTTTTCTTATTTTATTATTTGCAAATGTCTTAAACATCTATAAAAATTCGATTTTTATTGGTGAGTCTATTATATTTATGAAAATAATTGAACTTTCAACATTGCAATTTTGTAGCAATGTGTCGCTAGCTACATATCGTAGCTATGTAGCTAGCTACAAAATATCTACAAATCTATATCTGGTTGATAGCTACATATCAAAATTTTTTAGACAACGATTTTATTACAATATGACACTAAGTACAATAGCCAGTGAATCTTCAGCTTATTAAGCAAGCTGTCCTCGTAGCCAAATCGCTGTCTTTATCTTTAAAAATATCGATAGCTTTTCGCTAACTTAAAAAAGCTAGCGATCCTCGTGGCCAAATCGCTGTTATCGTAACGATTATAGCTAGCTATTCGCTAGCCGATTTCCCAGCGGGTAGTTTCTCTTTTCACTAAAGATCCTATTTTGCCAACATAAAAAGATGTACTGTAAGGGGAGTAGAAGGTATAGTTTCTCTCTATGCACATACATGCATGGGCGCCCGCAAGATTTTTTGATGTTTTAGATAAAACACTTCCACACATTGTGCAAACTCCAAACTTAAGCATGTTTATACCTATGCCATTTGAAGAGGCCTTGCAAAAAATGTTATGGCGGTAGTCTGGGAACAAAAAAGCCCTCAAATGCTAGCATTTCCTCCCCTGTCTGAGGGCACTAATATAGTAAAATTTTCCGACCCCCTCCCCAAAAAAATAAATAAATGAGGGGTTGTACATTTTGCATCGACATTTACATCGACATTTTGTAATTTACAATATTTTTTAACGAAATTTAAATTCCGTCGATAAATTTGAATTTAATTTTAGATCGTTAAGTTAAAAATTTTACTACAGTAAGTGCCCTGATGTTTGAGCAGGTGGGCAATCGTTTC